ATTAGCCTGGGCCTCGAACGCTGGAATGATATCTCCTTCAGGGACAAATGCGAGCGCAGGCAAGCATTTGCACCATAAAGCAAACTCCATGTCGTCAGCGTAGCGGGTTTGCAGTCCAGCTTCTTGCACCCGACGCTAGATGCTCTGAGCAAGATGGTAAAAACAGAGTCTCGCCGTGGAAGCCATGGAGCGTGGACCTGTCTGCTCCATGGTCGATTGAGTGGTGCTATAGTGGGCCTGGGTCTAGATCTGTGTCATGCCCAACCGAAAAAGGAAGGAAAGGCATTGTCTATTGAGCCTTTCGTCGACCCAAAAGTTTGCGAATAGGTTAACGTACTCGAGGACGCTGCATCTGCCTTTTCATCTTTTACTGGGACCTCCGAGAAGGAAGAACAAGACTCGGCAGTACTTCGATCGGTCAGTCTCACTTATGTGAATAAACTTCGTTCCGCGCAAAAAGGTGTGGCTCGTCGCGAAGACAGCTATTCTGGACAGTTTGACTTCAAGAAATTAGATAACTTTATGGATGATGCTACCAGGAAGCTGAATACCATCATCGCAGAACAAGCAGATCTGAAGGCTAGAGTGGACTCTTAAAGTCGCGGTTTTTAAACAATGAGGACGGATGTTGACAACATGAAGAAGAGGGTCGATGACACTGCGAGTTCTCGTCAGGTGGATAGCGATGTCGTAGAGGATATTGTTAAATCGAAGACACCTGATATGGAGACACGTTTTGGTCCATCCTTGTCTAGCATGGAAGAGCGACTTTTAGCCCTGGAGGTATACCAAAGGCAAAGGAATGTGGTGTTGTCGTGTCTGCCCGAGGGAGAAAAGAAAAACGCAGAAGAAACCATTCGTGACATTTTCTCTCCACCCTTCGTATCCCAGACTCCTTGGTCTCAGCCATGAAATTCTACGCTGTACATTGGCTCCCTCGTCCTCGTATTCCGGAGAACGCAGACCCCGAGGACCCTGGAGTGAAATTTCGCCCGATGATGTTCGCTTTCCTCTCCTTTCAAGATAGAGAGGTGGTTCTTTCTAATGGAGGTATGCTGGTAGGCAAGAAAATATATATGAAAATTGACTTTCCACCCCCTCTGAGGGAGAAACGGAGACGCTTGGAGGGGATTGCCTACAAGTTGCGCCAAGAGCAGCACCAGCGCACCAGGGTGGTCTGCCGGGGTACAGATCTTTCTCTCTAAGTCTTCTCGAGGATCAGAAATCGATGGGGAGCCAATGAGAATAAATAGGGCGTAATTATTCTTTCCTAATTGTCTTTTGTGCCCAGTCCCTCACAAATCGCCACTCTCCTTGAGCGGGTTCCTTTCCCCTTTACTTTTTTGTTGTTGTTTCCTTTTTGTTGTTGTCCTTTTCTTCTTTTTTTCCTCTTCCCCTTCCTTTTTTGGCTCTGAAATGTCTCTGAAGATAGTATCGGCTAACTGTCGTGGATTAGGAAATCGGTGCAAGAAGCGAGATGTTTTCCATTTTCTGAAGACTAGAACAGATGCAAACATAATTTGTTTATACGATACTCATTTTGTCGATAACTTGCATTACTTAATTCGGTCTGAATGAGGTAGCGATGTGTTCTTCTCTTCTTTTTCTTCTGAGTCTAGGGGCGTAGCTATCTTGATTTGACCAAACGTAAATTTTTGCTATGTAGCTGAACCTGTTTATCAGAGAGCGGATGGAAATTATTTGCTGCTGAAGCTCGTAATTGATAAGAGGCAATCTCTGAACATTGGTAATGTATATGGACCTAATAAAGGATGACGAAGATTTTTACTCCGAAATATTCGGTATCATTGAACAAAATTGTACCTTCTCCTCTCTGATACTGTGTGGTGATTGGAACTTGGTGCTGGAGCTTATGAAGGACTGTATGAACTATGTGAATGTTAACAATCCCAAAGCTAGAAAAATTGTTCTGGACATCATGGAAGCTAATGTGTTGGTTGATGTCTGGAGAGAACAGAACCAAGCAGCAAGGCGTTTTACTTGACGGAGAAAATCCCCTTCGATGAAGCAAGCTCTTCTTGATTCCTTTCATGTGGTTTCTGATGTAATTTCTAGGGTTACAGCACGCGACATTTCTTATGGGTATGCCTCTTACCACTCGTTTCCTTCTCTTGGCGTCGATTTCCGAGGAAAGGTGGTGAAAACGACCTTGTGGAAAATTAATAGTAGTCTGTCGAGAGACGATGAATTTGTGAAGTTGATAGAAAGAAGCATTAGAGATTTTGTAGCTATTCACGCGGCGACTCCCTACGACCCCTCTCATTTGGAAACTTAAGCTTCGAGAGCATGACAGACCTCGAATTCTTAGTGGATGATGTGCTATTCATGGAATCACTGATGGCGTATATTAGAGGGAAATGTATTTGTTACGCTTCTTATGAGAAAAAGCAAAGGTAGGTAGGAGGAGAACGAACTTTTTTAAAATATTGAAATCTTGGAGAAAAGGCGGATGTTGGACAGAATTCTTGTTTACAAACCCTTGATGAGTCAAAAACAAGCTACAGGAACTCAGGAGGAGAAAAGTAGATGGTCTCATCATTCGCTCCAAATGTAGATGGGAGCTGCTAGGAGAGAAATCTACTAAGTATTTCTCCTTGAAGCTTAAGAAGAGGATTCATGACCGCCACATTTATGAATTAAACGTTGGCGGCATGGAAATCAGAGAGAGCGATGAAATTATTGATCACGTCCGGTACTATTATAGGAACCTATACGCTTCTCCGGAAAATGATATATGTGAGAAAAAGTGTCAAGAAGTATTTCAATTTTTGAATGAAAGCAAGTGCCCAAAATTGTCCAAAGCTGAAAAAATTGATCTAGAAGGCGATATATCTGTACAAGAGGTGCATCACGCACTAATGAAAATGGAAAATGGTGAAAGTCCTGGATCGGATGGTTTTACGGCAGAGTTTTATAAATATTTTTGGCATTGTTTAGGAGGATTTGTTGTAAGACACCTAAATGTTTGCAACAAACGGGGTTGGTTCTCAGCATCACAAAGGGAAGACGTAATTTCTATAATACAAAAAAATGACAAGCCGTGAGAATTTATCTTCAATTGGAAACCTATTACGTTGCTCAATGCTGTATACAAACTTTGCTCTTCGTGCATAACGAACAGATTGAGAAAGGTTTTACAAAAGTTAATCGATCCAGATCAGAAAGGTTCGACTGTGTAAGGAACGTATATGATCTGATGCAGATCTTGACGGACCAGAGCATTCCAGGCATGTTACTGCTGATGGACTACGAAAAAGCCTTCGACTCCGACTAACAATTAGGCAATTGAGTTTCTGCCGTCTCCGGAATTGAGATTAAATTCACTTCATATTGTGTGTTATTTGCATTTTTGAATTCAAAACTTTTTGTGTTGAATGCTCTCATGTTGTATGCGAAACATATTATATATATAGACGATCGTGACTGACTGATATAAGTAGCTATTCACATGCTGAGTTCAGGAAAAATTCCACTTGGGTGATACACGCCATAGGGGCACAACATTTGGCAGAACATATTTTTTAAGTAGTTCTCTTTGCTTCAAACAAACGGAGACCCATGGAAAGCTGCTACATGGCAAGAACGTGACTGGTGAATAGCTATTCACATGCTGAGTTCAGGAAAAATTCCACTTGGGTGATACACGCCATAGGGGCACAACTTTTCGCGGAACATATTTTTTAAATAGTTCTCTTTGCTTCAAACAAACGGAGACCCATGGAAAGCTGTTACATGGCAAGAACGTGACTGGTGAAGCACTCAGCTCAAATGTCAAATTTCCAAAATATTTTTAGTGGGCATATTTCTTGGGGACGTAACGTTTTAAAGAATTTTTAATATCCTAGCGAATCGGGCAGAAATGGAAAAATAGCAGCTATCGCACGCATAACAGACGTGATGTTGATTTAAGAAAAAATTTAATTTTTGCTGAGCGTTTCCCCAGAGCACAGTTTTTGGATGGGTTGATTTTCCAAATATATTTTTTATCGTCAGCAAAACGGGGAAACGTATGAGGCTGAAACTAAGTGGCATGGAGTTCCATGAGTCTACATTTCAAAATAATAATAAAAATTTGTTAACACCATTAGTGCACTTTTTTCAGTCCCATTTTCCTGCTTTTTTGTTGATCCAACGAAACAGAGACACGAAATTTAAACTTCCCTCAGAAGTTCACCATCAAACAGGTACTCTGTTTGATGGTTGAGTAGAGGAGAAATCCTAATTTTGAAAAATGTATCCTTATCGGAGATTATCGGAGGGAAGTTTTTGAAAATGTATTCTCCACCCTTTCAAAAAAGGACACAAGAAAAGATTTCAAGTTAGGCACACAGAATCATAGAGGTAATGATTTTGATTTAAAAAATCAAGACATTCGACCCCATATGTCATTCGTGTCAATGGGGACATACTTTAAATACGTGTTTCCCATTTCGCAAAAAATGAATGAATTAATCACTATCCAAGGTAAGGAAGCGCCGAAGGCGCGACCATAGCGAGTTTGTTTGCCCGAAGGGCAAACAAACTCGCTAGTATAGAATGTATATTATTCAAAGAATATTAATCATAGTCAAAACGAACGCCGTTGACATTTCCACAACAGCAATCTGGCATCTACTGATAAGAAAGCATTCAGATCTCTAGATGGTTATCCAACCTTTTCGTATAATTGGCTGCCACTCGTTCCCTACCGAACCAAGTCTTGTGACCTATTCTGCAGTTTTCACACCATTGCCGACCAAGTGGGGATGTTTTCTATAAGACGTTATGGTTCCCTTGTTCAAATTCAAATTTGGTAAAATATGTACAAATGAGCTACAGACTCGACACTTCAAATCGCGCTGTGACATCTCTTATGGTCCAGATGCCGGACACTCCGTCCCCAAACCTTTCAAGAGCCCTTTCATAACGGGCCATATTACTTCAATGCTGATGGTTTTAAGACTAATGATCGAGAATTCCGCTTTTGGCAACTTCACCATCTAGAACTGAAGCTTCTCCCCCAGAAGCCATATTCTTGGGAAAGAACAAGGTCGGTATGAGGCATTAATGAAGAGCTGATCCATGTGATCTGTAAAAGTGAAGCTACTACTTTGCTTTGCATTTAACTTGCTTTCTGGAAGAGTCTCATATTACAGTTTTTCTACCAGGTAGGTTAAATGTGACTAGTGAGGCAATAGGCTTCTCAAAAGATACATGCAGTAAATTGACCGCGATGAGGAACTCCTTTAACTTTTTTACCCTCGCCTATCTGGACTTAGTTAATCCATAATAGCACATAACAATGAATCAGCATTTATTCAATGTTGATTCAGCATCCGGATGTTGAATCAACATTGAATCCATGAGGTTTCACTAAAAAGTGCTACTAGGGATGGAACAAACTGAATTAACAGGAACTTAAAAAGAAAACTCAAAAGAATGGCTAAAAAAAAACCTGCTTTCAATGAGAAATCAGAAACGCTCTAAGATAAAATTAGAATAGATATAGGACCTCTAAAATTGAAATTGAATACATTTTATTGTTTACAAATAAGGTACTGTTACCATACTGCAAACAGTACCTTGTTTGTAAATGACAGGGTGGACCAAAAAAAAATCAAATCTATCATTTTTGATAAGCTTTCAATCTAATTGCAGGTTGCCAATTTTGATTAAATTTGGTAGCCATATATGGTGACTCAATTAGTGTTTGTGTGCCAATTTTAAAATAAAAATAAAAAGGGATTTGCATTAAATTTAAATTTCATCACCAAAAAAGGTAGTGTTCATTCTTTCTTTCAGCTTAAAATCGAAAATGGTTGCTTTGTTTTTTTTTTTGCCCACCCTATATAACTTCCTAGATTTTCCCTCTGGTACATGATGATCCCTCTTTTTTCTATGATCCCCTCCCTCATTTAATGAAGGTATCAGAGAGCATGTTGGCTGTGCCATATTGCATAATAATATGGGGCATTGGAAGAAAAAATATCCTGGAATTATGCATAAGTAATGACTAACTATGAAAAAATTTCACCATTCTAGTTCTGCTTACTTGCCGTAAAAAGCGGGTTGTCTTTTGGAGGATTCATCCGGATTGGTTCACTCACAGGACTGTAACTGCTGACTCCTACCTTGCAAACACTTCGAACCTGATTGAAGAGACCAAAAAGAAAAGTGGGCTGTGATTCAATGCATATATGGAGTACCTTAAACATTGTAGGGAAAATGTCTCAATGAAAAACCAGTGGGAATCCTTATCATGTCAACTTGTTTGATGGTTTAGCACAGTTACTTGAAACTAACCCGAAAAGCATATCTTCGATTGGGAATAAGGTCCTTGATAGTAGCATTAACGATATTCTCTGTAACGGCGTGCTCGAACCATTCGTCATCACACGTGAGTGGACGATAAGACACCTGGTATCCTTCCACAAATTCCAATCCGTGGCAGGGCGGCTCCCAGGACAGCTGGATTGTGTCCTTAGTGACCTCGAGAGCCTTAGGTGCTCCGGGTATCCCGGGTGGAACGAAACGGCTCCGAACCCCGCTTTCGTAAAGGAAGATCTCGTGAGATGCCTTCTCCAATTGCATCTCAGTCACAAAGAACTTGAGGTTGCACTTTGACTTGTTGGCTTCGAAGAAACTTAAGAAAGTACTTGTGTCTGCCTGCAAGGCCTGCATGATTTCTAGATCATCAAACCAAAATTGCGGGGTTTCTCTCCCCAACGAGGAGCTGTCCAATCCCTCCTCCTTCAAGTATGTAGACATTCGCTCTAAAAATGGCTCCGTTTTGGGACCGACACCAAAAGCAAAACAGATGGCACATGTGATCTTCGGATCGTTAGTAATGATGCAAACATCCCCTGGAGCAAAGGCAACAGGGACTTCTTCAAAGAATTCCAGGTACTTTTCCAGTGTTTTTATTTCCACATCTTTCCCTTTCAGCCAGACGGAGAGATTCTCATTATTTAAAGAGGAAGCTATTGTTTGCTCCACGATTTTGGAGAGAGAAACTTCTTCTGCGCCGCAGGCCCGAACCGTCTTCAAGATGGGAGTAATTTTCTGCTGAAATTTGGCCTTGAATTCCTCAACTAAAGAACGAAATCTCTTCAGCTGAGTTCAGACTCCCTAGAAGTGATCGCAAACCATGGTTTTTTCTAAGTCGTTTGTCTTGACCTTGACGGCATGCAATGTCTCCAGGATACATTCCACATCTTGAACGATTCCCACGCTAATCTCTTTAATCAAACGTATGACCCCATTATTTAGCTTGTGAAGTGGGAAGAGATGCACACACTTCGGCACATTTACTTTCTTGGATAGAACCGGGAGTTCTTGGAATATTTGTAGGCCTTCCTCGAATGTGGTTGGATTTTTCTCAAGGAGAATGTCACCATAATATTTGCAGCGAAGTTGATATGTTTCTAACTTTTCCTTTTCCTTCACCGTGGCTGTCGCCTCTCCCTTTATTGGTAATCCTGTGCAAGAAAGATATCACAATCTCAGATACATGCACATCTCGAACTTACACTAAACGGATACGACAGTTTTGCAATCTCCTCTCCTAATTTTCTCGTCTATACTTATTTCCAGAATTACTGCTATCCGTAGATGTTCGCTGCAATGGCTCTTCCATACCCTTGATTTTTTCGAAGACAGCATTCAATTTCCCTTCCACATCTCGAACTGTTTCGTTAGAGGAGACTTCCCGGTCAAAAATGAAGAAAGCGTCGGCTCCATACTCGATCCCGGTGACAACGTGGGTGGCAATGTCTTTCTCGAATACTTCCGGATGCTCGATCCCATCCGTTCCCAATTGCTCCATGGTCAGCCCTTTGAAGCAGCTTTTGGACTTGAATTGAAGGACTATACGGGCTTGCTTAGAGGTAGATTTCCTATCGTCCAGGTACTTCCCGGATCCTGCAAGTCAATACACATATTTTATTATAACGGAAAACTTGGTCCGTTAGAGGACGGAATATCTAGTCCCCTTAGCGTGAAACTACTACTACATAACTCTGAAGTACTCCAGAAAGTCGCCATTAGAGTATTAAATCGAATATTTCGAACATCTCTCATCGAACATCACTCTACAGTTGTATGGTTTCTCAATGCTTGACTTAATCGCTAAAATTTATTTTCTTTCCTTATTTACGTCTGAAGATCTTAGTTCATCTCAATAACTTTTTCGCGCCTGCCCGCTGCTCTTCACAATAAAGGAGACACTTAGGACAGATGCCAATATAATGCCATTATGAATCTGATAAACTTTGTTTCCAACGCTTCAAGGATGTACCAAGTTAAGGTAGAAGGACATTCGCAGACGGAGTTTCCCAATAGTCAATGCTATAATTGCAGAATGAATAGAATTTTTCGTTCTGTCTCAACTCGATTTGTCTTCAGCGTTACTTGTGAAGGCCTCATCATGATTCATTCAACAATGATGTCATCCTAATCTGAGGCGATGCTACAAAATGCTTCATACATTTAAAAGGTGACGAAAAAACTCAACAGGGTTGGTTTTCGAAAGTAGTAGAGATTGTCTGAATGGACTTTCGAGTTTAAAAATGAAATCTAACTCTCCCAATTGTTATTATATGTTACATAATTTAAGAGAATTTGACTTAGACCCATGTAATATTGGCTGAAACCCTAATCGTGAAATCAAATTACCTCTAAGAACTTTTATTAAATAGTTTCTGTTTATCCTGAAATTAACCATCCCGAGACTTCAACGAGGCCACCGAGGAAACTGAGCTTGAGACTGGCATCGATGCCCAGGGCAGAAGCCTTCTCCGAGATGCTATCCTCAGCTATGATCTCTGAATAGCACGACGACTGGTGGGATTCCGTGATTTTTTTTTCCAGGGCCTTCATATTCCATAGGGTCATGCCCGCCACGATGGCGTCGCTTCGGCGATCGTAGAGAGTTCCCATCTGAAAGGGCCTTCCCAGACATGTCAGTTGCAACGGCTCGCACTCCATCTCTAGCAATTATCGGTGACGTCCTCGTCCATCTATCTAAAAAGATTATCATAGACACGAGGAGTCATATTTATTGATTTGGCTCCCTTTATTCACCTTGATAATGCGACTAAGTAAGCAAGCAGTTAACATGATTCAACGCTAAGAGAAACAGGTTCCTGTCTGTCCGCGGCTGTTGGCAGGATGCACTAGTACAGAAGATATACGTATGAATTAAAAACATGGCTATTCCCGTCTCAATGACATTTGTAAATTGGAAGGATGGTCTTGCCCAATTTACAGGCGAACCAGAGTGCGACCACCTTCGACTTTAGGCCATCTGTGATATTCGACGTGATATTGGGACTGAAGCAACGATTCCTATAATGGGGTTAAATCGGAACACGAAAATGATCATACGCAATGAGGAACGACATCAAAATGTCCTTTATCCCTTCCGTTATCTGCAAATATGCAGAACTGACTCCTTCTGTTTCTACATATCTCCTTTCCCGCTTTTCTTTGTGAAATAAGGATTCAACGTTTTTCGTTAAAACGCTAAAAAAAAGAAGCAATCAAAGAAATGGTATACGGTAGCCAGCCGTGAAAAACAAGGATGTAAAACAAACAAGACTTTGACGTTAAAAAGCCAGAAACGACATAAATCAATTGAAAGTTCTTGACTCATTAAAATGCATAATAAAAACCAGAAGGCATTGGAAAGGAGATAGTGCCATCCCAGAAGAACTATGTCTACTGCAACCTCATTACATCCGCATCTCACAATGATGATCTGAGATCGTAGTGGTTCGACGATTTCAGGTCCTGAGAGCGACCAGGCCTGGGTATATTTCACTAGTGACTTATACATAGCTGTGAAAATATGTTATACCTGTTCCAAGCTTTAAAAAAAAAAGATCTGAAGAAGAAAAGATCTGGATTTGATGCAACTGCAATTGTGCTGACCTTAACGCATCCTTTGCATGTCAGACTAAGCAGACTACAGAATGGTATTGTGTTCTTTCTAAGTGTCTGGTGATTGCCACAAAGTCAGCAACATATTATTCATTCAGAGAAAATAAACAGCCTTAGGTTTGGAACAGCCAGGAATGAAGTAAAAAACCTTTGCCTTCATCATGAACAAGTTTGGTCAGTGCGAAATATTCTTCTCAAGAGAGGGAAAAACTGTTGAGGTCCTTTCAACAGTCACTGGAAAACGGTAAAAGGAGGTCGGGTTATTTCTAATTTCGCCAAAAGAAAACCATTCTCTTTGTCAGATTCCTGGATGGAATTTTGGTGCAACATGCTTCATGAAGATGTCCAAGTTTGTCTCTTAGCAGTTCAAAAAATTACACAGACGATAATATTGAATTCAACAACATGAGTAATACATCATTGGGAAGAACTTAGATGGAGCTTTTATTGCACATTAGTTTCAAGTTTGTAGCGCGTTTGAAACAGGGTGTATAAACAGCCAAACGGGTAGAAAATGGGCTAAATTGGACTTTTCAAAATTAATTTAAAGTTGTTTAAAACAACGTAGGAAGTTCAAATTTAGTTCTTGAATTGGGATTGCTTTAGTCTAAAACGTTGCAAAGGCTCGTTATGTTGCCATGCATCCTAGTGCTCAAAATTTGTCGACAAAATTTGGGAAATATTTGCAATTTTTAATTTTTGTTACTCACTTGGAAATTAACCTAGTAGAAAATGGATTTCATAATGCGATCCTGCATTGTGTCAGCTTTAATTAAAGTCCAAATACGCCTTTCTAACTCGATTGGGACCTAAGACAGAGTTTTTACCGCAAACGTCACTTTTCCCCGTTGAGGCTAAGTTTAGGGATGCATATCTCGAAAACCGTTAAAGCCAGAGGGATAAAATTTGAAATGTTTTCCTAAGTCTTTGATGTCGACATGCTCAAAAATTTTCAAGCAAAATCAGAGCTGAGGTTCGACGAAAATCAATCAAATTTGACCACTTGAGCTGGAATGCTTCATATCCAAGAAGTTCATGAAATCAGTCAGGCAATCCGTCTGGTTTAAAGGTGAAATGAAAGCACTCATCAATGGATCAAAGCGCCTGGAAGATAGAACGGACTACGAAAAATATAGGACCATCAAGAGAACGTTGAAAGGACAAACAAGGTCTGCGAGACGGGAGGTCGAGGAACGGCAGGCCAGATATACTTAGAGAACCCCAAGGCTCTTTATCGGAATTGTCACGTATTGGATATGGGACGACCCCTAATCAATACACGACTGTGGGATTATTAGATAATCTAGGGTTCGGTACAGCAAATTCAGGAAAAAATCCACCATCGGAATTTCAAAATAATTACACATTTATATTAATATTCAAAGGTTTAAAATAAAAAAAGGATGATGACATGAAATATTGGAGGGACAGACACACAACACCATACACACCAGAAAAACGTCTCACAGGCAAATCTCCAAGGTCAGGATATCCGTTCCCGGAGAAAGGCTGTCATTCCAGATTATTAATCAGGGCGTCTCGCCCTTGGACATTATCGGTCATGAGGGGTGTGCTGTTCAGGATATCCGTTCCCAGAGAAGAGCTGCTTTTATCTTTCTATTACATCCTGCGTCTTGTATCAGGTCCCTAGGTACGACCTCCTTAATGAGCTTTTTAATATGCTTCAGTATGCTAGTGGTAGGTGTCAACAGTCGATCGGGTCCATGACGAACGACAGGGTGAAGTCGATTTCAAGTAATAACGATATTTAGCTGCGGGACCGGTTTTCATAAACCATCATCACACTTGCAAAAAACCGACCCCAGATTTCGAAATAAACATTGTATATCGAAAGAGTAAGCATTGAAATACACATACAGTATATAATATGTTTTCGTTACAGTGGTCGATTGAAGGTGCACGTTTGAAGGTAGTCAATGGTGTGTTTGGCCGAGTCTAAGGTTCTATAAATCCTATCCGGTGTAATTAGTTGGGCTGAATTGGGCATAATATTTTGGCAGTGGAGAAAATCACTTGACACATGATAGAAAACTACAGATAATTGTAGATATCACACATTCACAGAACATTTTTTTCTTCTTATAACACTAAAATGGAGGTTGGAAACACAACATACGGGAGGGTAGAAAGTGGCATAAGGTGACTGAGTCATAAACGATTATGATCTAGGTTCGAAGGGTAAAGTCTAAATCTAGGTGTAAAGGGCGACGACACCAAAATAGGATTTTTTTGTTGGGGAGGCTAATAGGTCGCGGCCTTCGGAAGAGATTATTTTCTAACCCAAGTGACCTATCAATCCCAAAATAGGCTGAATTTTTCACTCTTTCGCCCAGACTAGAAGGAATGCGGTTCACTTGGTCGGTGTAGTTATTATTATTAGTTTATAGTAGAGCGATTGGGTTCATAGTAGAAGCCAAAATAAATACTATGACCTTAGCCTTAGTACCGAGTCATAGGGGATGATGTTCTTGTGCGTGGATACGGAAATATCAGTGGTGCTTATTGTGTACTGCGGATACTTTTTTTGCAGCCCCTTGGATGGCTCCGGTCTCTAAGGATCCATATTTAAATGCGGCTTATTTCGGCTAGTATTTGAAGGCCTGCAGCCCTCGAACCCACTCGAACATAAGGCAAAGTTTCAATTTGGCAATCTAAGGGGAAAATTGTGTGCACCTCTGCTGTAGATCAACCGAAACAATTTTGCGATGGAAACAATCACATCTTCTGCATGGGATCCCTTGATTCTCCACTTTATTGAAGCGTCTTCTCGTGACCACCTCCAATCCATGGAATCCTGCACGAAGTGGCAGATGAGGCAATGGAAATAACGACAAGCTTCATTCCAGTTTGATAGCAGCATAGGAGTTTTTTTAATAAATATTTTTACACGCATCTGGCTAGAAGATCTTTCATGATTAATGCACAGACCTCATCATCCTTGCTGGCTTTATTTACTCTGCTCCATTTCTATCGCATCGTCGATTGCACACTGACTTCATCTATTTCCCAGCCCCTTCGTCAGGTGATCTACGCGACAAGAGAGGATCAACATGACCCTCAAGTTAGTCGTGACTATACTCCATTTGATATCTGTCGTTCCATTTGCAATTACTTAAACATCGGTATTTTTTTATTTCCCCTTTTGTTCGAACCATTTTCATGCTGATATTTGAATTTACGTATATTTGCAGTAAAATCTTGATATATCGTTTCGAAGCATTCCGCTATCTTCGCTTATATTCTAACCTATTCCATTGAACTAATCCCCGAATCGGCTTGTCATATTAAAAACAACAAGCGGCCTATGGTCGCAATTGCGGCCTTCTACCCGTGCATGTATTTTTTTCCTAACTGCTTATCTATTAAGAATACTCTTGGCCAGACTCCAGCTGCCAAAATGTCATCTATTATACAATGGAACAGTTATGCATTAAAGAGATGCTGAGGCACAGCATGCTACATCTGCCAATATGCGCAAATTATAACCAAAATTAGTTCAACATGAGTTAAGTAATAGAAATGGAAGGAATCATGAAAGAACTACTATGGGTGTTCAAACGATATGGGGACTTTTAGTCCCCTACCCTCGGCTAGCCCTAGAGTATGAGTAACAGCCATTGCCTCCTTCTCATTTGAAGCCCTCTAATATTAACATATTGCATACCGAACATTTTACCCCGTTGATCCGCCGCTCTCACATAAGCCTCACTTACTCGTACCTTAGCCTAAAGTTCGATGCAAATGAGGCTATGTTTTTTTCGGCCATACGCAAGGCGAAAGGACACAAAAACTGAGATCTCCGTGAGCAGAAAAAAAGTGTTAATACATTTGCGTTTAGGTCTTTCACGATTATGGGCGTGCAAAGGTCGTTCCCAATCATCAGGCTCCATATACGCATCAGGAGAGCTCCAATTTTTAGGTTTAGGGCGTACAGAAAGAGACAAAGAGCATTGAGAATGTCGAAGAATTCAACCGGAAAGGTGGCCTGCCGATCGGCGCCATCACCGCCATGAACGTTCTTCACAATGTCGATACTGTGATGTGTCCGCCATTCGCCTTCAATTGGGACGACACGTCCTGGTTGACTAAATAGGAGTGCTCATTCCAGGAATACAGAATGAGCGAGTTTACTTCCTCCATTCGGCATTGCAGATCTTATGTTGTTGCCTAAACAGCTTGTTCACCATATTATGGAAAATCGCCTGGTAAACGCACGAAGAGCTCAGAAGGATCCCCCTGGACTCGTGGAAATGTTCCACTGCCCACATCGAGCAAACATCAGACTCACATCTCCCCTTTCCCTGAGAGTTCCGACGTCTCTTACCCGAAAGATGAGCCCCATCGAGAGAAGTCGAGGCGATAGAAACCCTTCGACGAGTCTGGGCAGCAAATGAAGAACTTCTGCTTCACGCCAGGATGTTTAAATGCCGGCCTGTGTGATATTCAAACTTTATGAGCATCGAAAATCAACCTTTCCATCATATTTCGTTAACTTAGTTCTATTTGATCGTGATTCGCAAAATATGACTTCATTAATGCGTTTTTCGGCTTGCTGATATGCTGTTTCGGATACATAAACAAAATAGTCCAAATTGATTTTTTCGATTTTTCTCCCCATTTCGACATATTTGGGTCGTTGTAGCCTCGGAACTCACGGAATCGATGGATCTGACTGTGGACCCCTGGGAGGACTTCTTCGCGTACATCTGTGGGAACTGGATCGCGAAGAACCCCATCCCGTCGGCCGCCAACACCATGACCATCGTCAAGGAGCTGCAGGACCAGCTGGACGAGAGGATCCGAGATCTGCTCGCTTCCTTCAACGCTCACTGTTCTTGCGACGCCTCCAACCTTGTATCCTTTGGCAGACATCTTCCCAGCGGATCCCTCGCCGGGTGTCGGTGTGCCCGTTCGGAACGCGAAGACATTGTATGCCGCCTTTGTCGACACTGGTGGGCCATACTTAAAAAGGTTTCATGTTTTTCATTATTGTTGAAACATTGCGTTTGAAAGAGGGCATTAAGAAATTATGATATGTTTATGTATTTGGAAAAAAAAATCGTTTGTTTTTTGAAAAAAGTGAAAAAGTAAAAAAAAATAACGTGTAAGTAAAAATGAGCACTTAATGGGGCAAGGATGCGAAGCAGGGATTCAACTTCTTTTACGGGGAAAACCTTTCCCCTCAAATTTGGAAATTTGCAAAACGACACGTTGCAGCAACCTTGGAATCGTTGGGGCTGGATCCACTCACCACAGTCATGAATAACTACGAAGGAGACTGGCCGATGACCATGCACAAATGGAATGTATGGGACTTCGACTGGCAGGAGACGGCGGCGGCATGGATGAGAGAGGTCGAGCTGAACAATTTCATTTCGGCTTATGTGGATAACGGATGGCATGAACACCGACAGGAACGTGCTCTATGTGAGTCCGGTTTGAGCCTTTCCGATCTGTGTGAAGTTCATTCAACGCTGAACCTCGTTTATTGCAAAAGTCCATGTCCCAATTTCACGCGTTTTTTTCCTCTTTCTCGCCTGAGCCCGCGGAACTTCCCAATGCCTCCGTCCGGTTGGCGATCCTGATAGCTGGACCAGGCGAACCTGGGTCTCTCGGTTCAGGACCTGTACTTGGATCCATCGTTCAAGGCGATCCTGGACGCCTACGAGGACTTGCTGAAGGGGACGGCGAAGCTAGTCCAGGACCATCTCGGCTCCTACGTGACAGACGAGGAAGTCGATAGGCAGGCGATCAGGCAGGCAAGGCTCGTTCAAAGGAGCGATGACATGCACTTTCATCTTATATGTATCGTTTCATTTTCTGTGAAATAACCTTGGAAATTGAACCATCCTCCCTCCCTCTTTCCAGACCGATTTTTCATGGGATTCCTTGGACTGGATTATTTTTTATGACCGATTTGCTGAAAAAATTTAAATATCTTCTCTGGTGTACGTGGGCAAAGATCGGCCACCACGTGGAAGTCATAGGGGGCTTATTCCAGCTGTGTCAGGAATTGACCCACTCCAGCGACTACTTTGGCGTCATCAGGCTTCGGTGATGCTAATCTTCAAGCCGTTGTCAGATGCATACCAGAGATATTCTTAAGAAAAACGTCTCTTTAACGTTCCACAAACGTCCTTTAAAAAAAGGGCTTACTTTGGTGTTGATACAGCACCCTGAGTGCTCATCCGTGTACATTGGACATCTAAAATGTCTTGGAATACATGTTGAATGTCTTCGAGCACTTTCATGTGTTACTTTGGCATTCTCGTGTGAATAAAGCGTACTGGTCTCATTTGACCCATGTTTATCTTTGGCATCCGATCATGTAAATGAAGCATGGTGTCAACTAAGGCGAAGAAAGAGAATTTAGTACAATCCCAGAACCTAAACATGTGATTTGTCAAAGCTCATATCACCTGTCATTCCACGTGGCACACCAGCACGTCAATGGAGCATGGTACCCATAAAGCAGAAGAGACAAAATCTCATATTCTACCTAGGGTCTTAGTTTGAAAGCAACATACAATGTGGCGCGCACCTTCCAACTCTTGCGAGAGTGTTTTCTGCTACTCTCTACAACACACTTTCTCAGGGTCGGCGCACAGACGCGAGACCGCAAGCAATGAAACGCCAAAATGTGGGAGAGTCCCAATCTCAAAAGTATCATCAATCAAAACATCGTACATCACCTCAGACGTATGGAGTTGACAGGGAAAATGCAGCAACCCAGCGAAGTCAGGATTTGCAAATCACCTTTTATTACTGCAAGCTTCAGTCTCCCATACATTATATTCCCAATAAACATACGAACATTCAATCAGCGTTGTATGAACGTTAATTTTGAACCTTCCCAGTGTTTGGTCGGCGTTGCAGCTAACATTAAGTCACTATTGCAGTGTCGCTTATCGGAACACTCAGATGAACGTTGAAGTTCAACACTGACTGAACGTTGAGCCAACATTGCAATGTCACTTATTTGAACCCTCACTCCCACCCTTGTAGCATTCCATAATTGGTCAGTAATGAAGGCAATGGATTAAGTATCATTCTGAAGGTACTAACCTTAGCAGTTTACAGTGAACGGCTACCCCCTTTCTGCTCTGTGGTTCAGAAATCCTTCTTTCCTTCGCTGGGAGTGGAAAAATCATCCTCCCTCCGAAAGACGAAGAATAGAGCCAATGTTAATCGAGCTAGTAGAAACTCTTTCTTGGGTGATTGTCCACTGCGATGCAAGGGTTTCTCATAAGGAGTATGAGCTTATTTACTGCCTGGGCTCCATGATTCTGTCTCGAATATATGGATAATAAATTAATAAGTGTCCGATTTTATTGATTGTTATAATGAGGCAACGAAAAACATATGGCGAGGTAATAAACACTCCTATGAGGGATGTTTCCATGGAAAGAGGAAAGTGTACTTTGTGTACTGTGCGAAAAGCGAGGCCCATACCTCCATCTAGTGGGCAAGAGAAGAACTTCAGCATTTCCTCAAAATGAACTCCCCCGTGGAAATTGGGCTCATTGGATCATCGCGTCAGTCTGATATTGCATCGATGATGGAATGTCAAAATTGGGAAGTCAATATCGAGCCAATATTTAGCCGGTATTGGCAATAATGCAAGATGCATGTAGACATCGTGCCCAATGTTGGTCCAGCATTCACCCAATATCTGGTATTACTGGGGTAGTAACACTGAATAGGTTCTTTGTCGTCTTGCGAAAAAAAAATGTTTCCCCCTATTTGGCGATGCATATTCAATGAAACTACCATAAATATTATTTTAAAATGCGATTTAAAAAGGTATCATAATGCCATAACACTGTTGAGTCATCTATCTTACAACGTCCTTGCATGTACAAGGCCGTACAGTGCAATTTTTTCCTCACCTGCTAGTTGGAGAGAATGCTAGTGGGAGAGCATGCTGGAAAAGTCGGATCTTGCTGGAATTTCTCATCCTGCATCATTATGCCACGTACTTGATTTCAAGCCTCGAATGTTTTGTCACGTGAAACTAATTAATAAACAACACATTTGATAACAGATTTCTTATAACCGTTTTAATGCCTCCTAGGCTTTAACAAAACCGCCAAAGACAGTAATGCTCAAGAGAATAAGCATTTATGCAATATGTTTGTCAACACGGATGTCCTGTCTACAAAGTCGAATGAATTCCAAGGCACAGTATTTCCCAATATTAAGACATGTACAGTCGAGTACACATTTCCACGCAACGCCACCCAGAGGCCTGGGGCAAAACTAAACCGGAGACCCTAGAGGCCCTTTGGACCCCTTGATACGTGGGGCCCTGGGCAAAAGGGGCAATCTGCCCCTTTTGCGCCCCTCCTCTGGGCGACCTTGTTTCCACAGCACCTATCTCTCCTTCGTATGCAATCATATCGTCAAAATTTCGCACATCCCCTTCATAATGTCTGGCCTCCATATATAAAGTTCCGTCCATTTCGATATCGATGGTCAGAAGATCTTGTATTGGCAACTATCTGATAGACAGACTTATACAAAAACACTATCAAGCCCAATTTTACAAAATGGCGGCAATTATTTCATCTATATGGCACCATCAATCTGAGTTGTCTCCTTCGTTCTCCCCCAGCAGGTAGTATACGAATTCAATCCAGAAACAGTGGATGCATTACATTATGTAAGACATTCTCTCAACATTGATCAACATTGATGGCAAATGTCACGATGACAATCTTAGAAATGTCGTAGAAACATTCTAGAAGAAAAACGTTGAAGCAGTGTTTCATCAATGTTCAACATCGACTTGCAGCATAGAACAACACGGGCATCGACGTACCGTGTTACTTGGGTACATGCGAAGGGAAAGGAAATGTCGGGCAAGAAAAAGGGTTCCGCACGTGTAAGGCGATAAGGTGCTTAATTAAGCAACAGCTGGGCTTGGTCGCTGAAGGAAATGGTAATCAATCATCTGGAAAACGTGAATTTGTTGTCTTTTGTTCTGATTTATGAACGTAGGGTTTTCAATACATTTTATATAACAGCGCAACCATTTTTTACTTCTGGATCTGCCAAATGATCGGGATTATGATTGTGGATTCATAACGGAAGTGTTTCGCCGAATTCGAAAGACCTCCATCTCGTCCTCCGCAGTTTGCACCGAAAACGACTCCATTCCAGCATCATTTCATTCGTGATCCTCTGCTACGAAATGCTCTCCCTCTGGCAAGATTTCTTTAAAGCACATCATCCTCCACGATTTGTTGGAACTTCGACGGCGAGACTCCGACGGCTCCAGATCCCTTTACTCCCGCCGCGTGTTTTCGTCTTCGCGACAAATGCCCGCGTATCCCTGTGAATTTGAATCGGTGCAGCGTGCGAGACAAAGATTTGATTTTTGGGGGAAAATTCCTCCATTCGAAAATGATATTTCATTATAACATTTTTCTGAAGACGATGCCCATCACCAATTAATGAACATATCTTTAAAAACTAATCAATTAGCTTGAAATAATATAATAGTTAAACCATGTGATGCTAGGAACTTCCCTGATATTTAACATGTATGAGAAGGAATGCGCTGGTATGGTTTGTTTGGTATATTTTCCCAAATGTACACAGGTAGCTGAACTTTTCCATTTTATAGTTTGGAATTATTCTAAGGACGCATTGTCAATAATCACATTTATTCTAAGTGCTTGCTAAAACAATCACTCCCCGAGCATGCCCCAATTTTGAAATCACCCAACTCAACACTCATGCGGCAGCGATTTAGCAGATTATCAAACTTCCATTCGCCCTTTTTTCATTCAAGGAAATAAAGGGACCTAAGGTTAGCTCTGACTTCTTCATCTGTATAGTGCTTCCACGCTGAAGGCAGTTCACTTGAGACCTTCATTCCGTATGTTTTCGCCAATGCCTCTTCATTTCTGGCGATGAAGCGTTTCCAGAAGAGAGGAGTTGCTTCTTGTTTCTTTGGAGGAATGTCCCAAGCAGGAAACTTTCTTCTGTACTCCTTATACAGAGTCCATTTCTCCTCATCTGACTTTCCGAACTGCGCCTCAGTCCTTACGTCTTCAGGACACGTCGTCAATGCCATTTCTCCCGTTATATTGTCTTGATACCCTCTGAGGCATTGGGGGATGTGAATCTCAGTGGCATGAAGAGCGACTGAACCCTTTTGCTTGTCTTCCATGCCCATTTTTGACTTTAATTTCTGCATGATAGATGGCTCTTTGAATGGCACGATAGCATCAGGGTCAACGTGGTTTTCGAAGGAATGCTCGCATTCAGCCCCGCAAAATGGGCATCGCTCAAGACAACCCAACAAGTTCTTCAGCAGGCGACTGATGGGAGAATCTACATGATCTGCGAGGAGGTCCATTTGTGAAAATGCAAAATTTGTTCCTTTTTCTTTGGAAAGCTTCTCCCTCAAAAGAGGGAGGACCTCCTTTACGGGAATTTCAGAGCAAGACTCCTGCACAAAACCGATCTCGATGGGACATGCCAATTTTAGGTAAGCATTAGCTTCATCAATGATACCACCCAAATGAGAAGGAGTTTCTACGAGGTTTTCAAGGATTTCCAGAAAGCTCTCAGTAGTTCTATGGAAAAACTCACTCATGATCTTCGTGCAATCGAAAAATTCTCTTAATTCATTTTTGTCGAGGAACTCAAGGGCCACCATTTCCGCGTACTCTCGCTTCCATCGATCGGGGCTTATGACATACCCCATCGTTGTATGAAAGTCATCTTTTTTGACCAAGTTATACAAGCAGTATCCATTGAATGTCTTCTTGTTCTTGAAGAACTTCTGCTTTCCCAAAAAGGTAAAAAATTCACGTTTTGCAAGCAACAATGCTGAAGCTTGGAAGGACATGGAAATAGATTTGGAAATGCAGTTAGTAGCCCACTTAAATTTTCTAAATTTTTCTTCCATTTCCCTCAGTTCAGCTTTTCTAAATTCCATTTCCCTCAGTTCAGCTTTTCTAAATTCCATTTCCCTCAGTTCAGCTTTTCTAAATTCCATTTCCCTCAGTTCAGCTTTTCTAAATTCCATTTTCCTCGAAAAGTCTTCCTTCATTTTGAGAAGTTCCTCTTTCATATTATCAGGTTCTAGTCCCTGGGCATCCAATAAATGATGAACGCTCTTTCGACTAACAACTACAAGAACCTTCACCGCCATCCGCCCCTCGCTAAATTGTCTCGCGTATGAGTATATTTGATCTAGTACTCTCCTCATAGAGCCATCTCTTGCATATTCTTTTGCAATGCCCGGAATATCCAATTTCATCATGCACGTTTTGGCAATAAGTTCAACTTCTTCCGTATTCTGGCTCTTTCGGAAAAGAAGTTCCTTTCCTCTTCGCACATAACCTTTCTCACCTTCCTTCTTTTCTGCTTTCACATCCCAACATTGGATTTCCTTGTGATGTCTTTCTGGAATCATTTTCAGCAGTTCCGATTTTATCTCTTCTGACAAGGCATCTTCGTTGCTCAAATACGTTGAGTTTAAGTACATAGCTCTCATCAAATCACCTTCCCGTCGATTCCATACCTCATCAAATGCTCCATCTCTGCCCTTTCCATTCTTCTCGATTTCCATTTCCATTTCCTTCATTACTTTGGCGACAGCGTCTTTCCGGTGAAACAATTCCCACTGCTTTCGTTCTTCCACATGGAAAAGTTCCCGGATTTGATCTCTTTTTGCGACGATTATGCCCCGAAGCTGTGAGATGATCCTTTCGCACCAAATCAAACAAAGTCCCTTTCGTTCTGATGAGTTGATCATCTCATGCAACTCTTGGACCTTCTCTTCGATAATTTTTTCCACCAGGGGCTCCAATTCCTTCTTCTTCCTTTCACACACCTCCTGAACTTTATATACGTCGTTTGCCCTCATGATTTCTCCTTTCCATTCATCCCAACTTCTAAAAAGTCGGTTATCCGCTTCGTATACTAGTGACTGCAGCATACTTTCTACGTCATTGTAAGCTGCCATTTCCATGACATTGCGAAAATTGAAGGCAAAGTTTTCTTCCATGATTGCTTCCCATAACCCCTCCAGATGTCGACTGAATATGTTCATGTTCCTGCCACTGCAGGAGCGTAGCTTCTCCAAGATTACCGACTTCATTTGTTTCGCTTTGCATCCATATTCTTCAGAGTGGATGGTAAGTTTGCCGGAAATAAATAAAGAAGGGAAGTAGTGTGCATCTTTTGTCAAGTTTAATTTGATGACATCATGGAAGCTACTGATTTTTGGATACGAGTCTTCTTCCTTTGCCGCAACAATCGTCATTTCATCAAGGACCTCTTGCATTTTCTTCAGACCTTGCAACCGAGACCTATGCGCGTCTTCTCGCACATTTTGATGGATGATCACCACCTTGGGGGATATTTTGACCTCGTTCATTCGGATGAACCCATGCAGGACGGTGGGCAGAAGGTCTTTCACATCAGATGGCGTTTCGCCCATCACATTGAGGAGAGTCAGGTCAGCCAGTCCAATGGCAAATGTAGCCAGTTCATTATCTCGCCGTCTGGAGTAATCGTCTGCAAATTCGGGTGCTCCCAATCCCTCTGAATCAAGGAGGACTAAGTAGTGTGTGCGTGACTCATCTTCGTGACTCATCTTCCCAAAAGGGAAAAACTGCATATAGACTCCCTTCGTACACCTTCCTGTTCGAGCTAAAAAGTCTGACCCAAAAATCGTGTTCAACATTGTGGACTTGCCCGAGCTTTGGATGCCGATGACTGAAAGCACCCAAATCTTCCCCACTTTGCTTTCAATGCACTTAAAGATATCTGTCAACCACTTCATAGGGATGTAGCCATTGTCACCATCCAATAACTCTAATGGCATTCCGGCCAGAATCAGTGAAGCCATTATACTTGGAAGGCCAGACACCTTTCCCTTATCTTTACTGACAATAAGGCATTCATAAATCTGAGCAAGCTCTCTGAAAATGTTGTCCATGCCAAAGGATGAATCTCTCATTTTCCTTTCTAGCTCTACTAGCTGCTCCTTCTTTTCCTTTTTTCCTTTCATGTCGTCTTTGGCAGAATTGTTGAGTTGTTTCCAGTTTTCCTCCCATTCGTCTCGCATGGGATTCAAAGCCATAGAACTCAAATTTTCCAATGACACTCTCAAATAAAAAAGGCTTAGCCTGATTGACTCTGCCGACATTCCTTTTAGGATGTCCACAAATTCTAAGAGTGTTTGTGATGCCCCCCGCTGTTGGTGAATATAATTAACTTTCTGTAAACGGAGTGACTGTCTCTTGCCTTCAAATTCTTGACTGTTACAAACCATCAAGTTTCTTTTCATGTGCTTTTTGAATGCGTATTTTGGCAAGATTTCCGTGCTCAAGGGAAGACATTCTTTCTTACTGGACGTTGGGTCTCTCCTCGTAAACTCTCTGACACATTTTTCGGTGGCGTTTCTTGACTTAACAATTTCCCCTGAATGCACGTCGATTGCAATTCTTCCGAAGTCGTTTCCAACGGAATCAGTTGGGTTCAGGATCTTTTCCACTTCCTTCCAGGTAAATAAAAGTTGGGCCCCTGTGGTATCAGTGGAATGTTTTAAGCCGTTCACTCTTTCTAATTCTTTGAAAACTTTGCCTCGGACTTTCTCGGGGAGGCGATTGTTGGTTCGGAAATTGACGATTCCCACGTTTGGGTTTTTGCTGGTGATACAATCGAAAAATTGGTGTTGGATTCTATTTTCTTTCATGAGAATGCAACGTGCTTCGGTGGCCACACTTTCGTTGCTTAAATAGGACAGGACGTCACTCAAGGCATGGTCACCTTCCTTGGACTGCGTAGGCACATTTCCAAGAAATAGTATGACAAGAGAGCATATCTTTCCAAGGAGTTGGACCTGTTCAGGAGAATAGAGGGCATCTCCCCGCAAGTTCAGAATGAAGGCTGGTTCTACTTTACTGCTCTCTTCTGAATCCCCAGTGGCTCTTCCAGGAGACAGGGACATTTTCAACCAAGCCATTTCAAGAACTCCGTTGCTGACTAGTCGTCTAGCTTTTCCTAGTGGCAATCCTGAATGGAAGAATGTGTCATAATTCTCAAACAAGGCTTCATTGATAACCTTTGATTTGGAAAGATTGTTCTGCAGATCGCCAACACGGATGAAACCGATAAACGGAGCTTGAAATTCAACCAAAGGGTGATAAAGGCCACAATACTTCACATCAATATCCTGGAGGGCCCAGACGAGCAATTCCAACGTTTTATCCTTAAGTTCACTGGTTGCAGCGATTGGGGACACTGGTGAGACAACAGGCATCCCATGACCTATGGAAAATAGACGACCAAGCAAGAGCTGGCGAAGCGATGGCTCAGAATTCTGGAGGGCTATCACCAGGATATCACATGGATGGATATTCGGAGTGTCGTTCAAGTCTTCGTCACTATCTTCGTCCTGCATATAATAGGCAAAGCCATTGTCATAATACTTATTATTCCTTCAATTCTTCTCACTCTTTCTAGCCCATTAAATAGACATAATTCATGAGAGCGTCAAGATTTATGAAGCTTTCGATTTGGCGTCATAATAGCCTGCATCAACTTATATTTTGTGCCAATTTCTGTAGATACGTAAGTTATTCGTTTTGGTCAAAGTTCGCATTTTGCAATAGGACATTTTTTGGACACCTTAAACTCTGTGACAACACCGGAACTGTGTTCATGTTTATAAATTAGGATGGAGAACGATCCAAATAATGAAGTGCTCATTTGATTCTTTAAACCACAGGGTGGTGCCTGCAGTTTGCATTAAGATATAGGTAGTCATATGTTGTGCAGACTGCGATAAAAACATGAAAAAGTCAGTAAATTGGTTTAAGCTAAGTATAGGATTGATGAATGGAAAAGTAAAGAAGATGATGATTTAGTGAAAAATAGAGAACGAAGAATGAGTGGAACTTAAAAACCAAGAAAAATATTGAGATACAGTCGATGTCCGACATAGCGAACTCGAGGTGGCAGACTGAAAACTCATCGTTCTAAGAAAAAAGTGTCCACAGTATAGCCGTGTTTCTCTGGGTAAAATGTCCAATAAGACGTCATTTGTCGCCGAAATAAAAAATGTAGCCTTCGATTCCCGAAAAAAGATCATTTCTGAGGGCCTGTTATATGGCGAGATTACAGCATCCAAGATATGTTTATACATGGACGTTTATTCGTGTCGTTATTCAGGTGTGATGAGAGAAGAACGAGTCGCGAGCGTTGTCTATTCATCCGGGATCAAAACTGAAATGTCTGTCAGCGTCACACTCCGCTGGAGGATGCTATCAGCCGTAACCTGAAAGGTAATTATTGTTTTCAGGCTCAACATTCGGCCTTTTCATCAAAAAGTTTTGAAGGCTTTGATTGTCAGATCGAGAAGAATTCTAGGCTTTGTCTCACCAATGGGTGAGTGGGAGATGCTACATTTTGATATGAGTTTAGATTTTCCAGGAATGCGCAAGCGAAAGTATTAATAGCTCTGACATATGCAAAAGATTTAACCCTTTAATGCATGACGTAAGACAGGGCTGTCAAACATGCGGCCTGCGGGCCGGATCTGACCCACAGAGGTGGCTCATTCGGCCCCTTGGTCGCATGGAAATTTTCCGCATGGATTGAGTGTCAGCACAAATTTAATTGAAATTTCGCCTCCAGCAGGCATCTTCAGGGTAAGGAATGCACCCGTCGACTGATTTGTGTTTGACAACCCTGACGTAGCCGATATGCTATATAAAAAATAAGTTTTTTTTAGAATGCGCAGGTGGCGAGCTCCTGAGGTAAATCCGTTCGAAGCAGCTGTGCAACAATCCGGTCCTTTTACCTAGCGACTGTGCGGTCGCTAGGTGCCAAATATTTCTGGTGGCAAGCAAATTAAAACCAATCTGGCGTCGTCGTATGGCAGATTGACGTTTTTAAATTTCATTTCATTAAACTTTATGGCAATCCAGAGTCCAGGCTCATCATTATTTTGACAATTTCCATTGTGTTGAGGTATGTACCAATGTTGACGGACCAACTGAGCGACTGACTGACCGATTGGCCACACACCGTGGGTTAGAAAGCTGAAAATGCTGTTTGTAGCAAATGAGCAACAATAACATTTTTTTGCCTACTGCTTGCAAATTTGAATTTTTTTAATTTTCCACTTGATCCGTATTATAGGAGTGAGTAGAACGTACCAGATTTTTTTCCGCTAAAAATTAAAATCATGCATTAAAGAGTTAAATTTGGAACGCAGAACAGCTTTGTTCCTTTGAACGAAAAGGTGAATTCCTTAAACCAAAAAGTTCATTTTGCTGTACAGAATTTCGTTATAGAAGTTCTCATGAATATGCACGGAATGATCTGACGGCAAGGAATTAGAAAGAAAACCTTAGGAAAGAAATTAGGAAATATAGTGATTAGTTATATCAAGTATCGACTATAATCCCGAGAGGACTTTCTTTCCAGGTGATTTGAGAAAGTCCAGTAGAATAAATTAGGATAAATAGATTATGAAGGTGATGATACTAGAGGGAGAAAGATGAGCATCGAAAATGAACATGTATCCAAAATATGTCTCAGATCAATTCCCTGAGTTTTTCATATTTGTGAAGGTTAAACCATTTCTCTCAAGAACTTTTCCTTCCACATTTATGTCTAAAGCGTTATGTTAGCCATATTTTCCAGAAAGAATTCCGAGATTTCAATAGCACAATTTTGTATGGTCGTAATATGAGTTCCCTAACGTGTGGCCTTTTCTCTTTTTGTTAATAAAATAATAATTGTCGACAAATAAATAATAATCTTCATGAAGTTCTTTTAATCGCACTTGTTGCATCGTCTGCTTATCATGTAAGGCTGTTCTTCAGTTCAGGAATCTTCATGAGATGTTTGGTCATTTGTGGTTACTGAAGGATGTTTGATTTTGGGAATCCATCCCGGATTGCTTTTGTGGTCCTGATGAATTTTGATTTCTTCAGCTCAGGAAGAACAAAAGATTTCATAATCTTTGATTTTGATGACGCTAATCTCTATAACTGTAAATTTGATTCAATATGAGGAGAATAATGTAACCATTAAAACTCAGTGCCTCTTTGTCTTCATATGTCAAGTATTCAATACGAAGGTTTCCAGGCAAAGGGATATTCATTTTTCGGTAGGCCCCAGTCATTGCAATGATTTCTTGCAAGAATTTAATAATCTGTGTTGGTTGTTTCAGAGTTGTGCTTTCTTGCGACGTCTCTCTTCCTTCTTCCAGCTCATTGTTCCGATAAAGAGTTAAAGCTTCAAGAAGATTTACTTTTCCATGATTTCGAATTCCAAGGCAAGATTGCAACTCCTTGTCCATGGCTGCAAAAACGAAATATGCATCAATTCATGTTATTTGACTCGAGACAAACTCTGCACAGTCGCATATTCTAATTTAGGTTTGTAACCATATCACCTTTTGATTTGATCACAAAACTTCTGCTATATGAAATGCATATTTTCAATGAATATAAATCATAGTAAAAACGAACGCCGTTGATATTTCCACAACAACAATCTGTCATCTATTGGTAAGAAAGCATACAGATCTCTAGATGGGTATCCACCTTTTCGAGTAATTGGCTGCCACTCGTTCCCAACCAAACTGAGTCCTGTGATCTATTCTGCATTTTCCGCACCATTACCTACCTGGTGGGAATATGTTTTCTACAGGACGCCATGGTTTCCTAGTTCAAATTTAAATTTGGTACAATAAGAACAAATGAGCTACAGACTAGAAACTTCAACTCGCATTTTCACATCTTCTATGGTTCAGACACACGACACTCCGTCCCCAAACCTTTCAACAGCCATTTCATAACAGGCCATATTAATTCAATGCTGATTATTTTAAGACTATTCGATCTAGTCTCGCAATGAATTGATTTATAATGTTGCTCACCTGAGGTATTGTCCATTCGCGAGGACATTACATTTTTCTATCGCAATTATTGGCTTGGTGAAGATTTTCTATGTTGTCTTGCAGCGAGAAAGACGAAAGAAAGCGCATTCTCAACTTTTTCATAAATAGGTTGAAGTGTTAGGGGATTAGCTGAAACGGAGAGGGTGTCCTAAAAGGTCAGGGTTTCCACTGATGTTAGCATTTTCCTTCATTTTAATGAGTTTTTCAGCTATAGAATTGAAGTGTTCACGATGACCACCTTTCCAGATTCCACGCCATATACAGAAGGAAATAACAGTGATTATTTACTAAATTAATCAATCCTACATTAATCTAAAAAACAAAAAAGTCCCAAAACAGGGTTTGACTTCGAACAATTCCATAATCGGGAATTCCGCTTTTGGCAACTTCACCATCTAGAACTGAGGCTTCTGCCCCAGAAGCCATATTCTTGGGAAAGAACAAGGTCGGTATGAGCCCTTAATGAAAAGCTGTTCCATATGACCTGTAGAGGTGAGGCTGCTGCTTTGAGTTGTATTAAACTAGTTTTCCAGAAGAGTCTTATATTAATGTTTTTCTACCTAGTAGGAGAAATGTGAGTAGCGAGGACATAGCCTCTTAAAATAAAATTGCAGTAGATTGACCGTGATGGGGAATTCCTTTAACTTCTTTTACCCTCGCCAATCTGCACTTCATAATCCAAAGTAGCACATAACACTAAATCAGCATTTACTCAATGCTGATTCATCATCCGGATTTTTATTCAACAAGGAACAAACTGAATTAACAGGAACTTAAAACAAACCAGCTTTCAATGCGAAATCAGAAACGCTCTAAGATAAAATTAGTGATACCTATCAGAACTCTAACATTAAAATTAAATAAATTTTCTCGTTTACAAATGAGGTACTGTTACCACACTGGAAACAGTATCTTGTTTGTAAACTACAGGGTGGACCAAAAAAACCAAAGCTAACATTTTTGATAATCTTTCAATATGATTGCAGGTTGCCAATTTTGATTAAATTTGGTAGACGTATAGGGTGACTCAATTAAGGTTTATGTGCCAAGTTAAAAATAAAAATTCCAAAAACAGTGAGATTTTGGCATTTAATTTCCGTTGCATCACCAAAGAAAGTAGTGTTCATTTTTTCTTTCAGCTTAAAATCATTTACAGATGACGAGAAAAAAAACAAGCGAACAGAACAAAAACAAGGGCACAAATGGAAAACATGAAAGCCCACAATTTGGTTTAGGGACGTTCATTTCAACTGAAAAGGTGCTCAATGTGCACATCACTCTGTTGAACACATGCCTCTAGTCTGGGAAACCACAGATCAATGGCTTGACCAATATACCTTTGAGGCAATCCCTTCCAATCTCCCATTGTGGCATCATTCAGATGTGGAAGTTCACGAATTCATACCTGCCTTTCATTTCTGTCTCATGTTCATATCGGTATTTTCGACAGCACATTTTGTAGGTGGTCATCAAAAAATAATTGCAGCTCTTATCATTTTAGAGCCAAAAAGTTTAAATTTGGTATACAAACTGCAATTGTGTCACCCTATACATCTACCCATTTTACTTAAAACCGGCACCCTACAAAGGGATTGACGACTCAACGAAAATGGTTGCTTTGTTTTTCTTTTTGCCCACCCTATATAACTTCCTAGTTTTTCTCTCTGGAACATAATGATCCTTTTTTTTTCTAAGATCCCCCTCCCTCATTTAATGAAGGTATCAGAGAGCATGTTGGCTGTGCCATGTGGCATAATAATATGGGGCATTGGAAGCAAAAACAGCCTGGAATTATGCCTAAGTAATGACTAACTATGAAAAAATTTCACCACTCTAGTTCTGCTTACCTGCCGTAAAGAGCGGGTTGCCATTTGAAGGATTCATCCGGATGGGTTCACTCACAGGACTGTAATTACTGACTCCTACCTTGCAAACACTTCGAACCTGATTGAAGAGACAAAAAAGAAAATTGGGCTGTGATTCAGTGCATCTATGGAGTACCTTAAACACTGGAGGGAAAATGTCCCAATGAAAAACCAGTGGGAATCATTTTCATGGCAACTTGTTTGCTTGGTTTAGCACAGTTACTTGAAACTAACCCGAAAAACATATCTTCGATTGGGAAGAAGGTCCTTGATAGTAGCATTAACGATATTCTCTGTAACGGCGTGCTCGAACCATTCGTCATCACACGTGAGTGGACGATAAGACACCTGGTATCCTTCCACAAATTCCAATCCGTGGCAGGGCGGCTCCCAGGACAGCTGGATTGTGTCCTTAGTGACCTCGAGAGCCTTAGGTGCTCCGGGTATCCCGGGTGGAACGAAACGGCTCCGAACCCCGCTTTCGTAAAGGAAGATCTCGTGAGATGCATTCTCCAATTGCATCTCAGTCACGAAGAACTTGAGGTTGCACTTTGATTTATTGGCTTTGAAGAAATCTAAGAAATTAATGGTGTCTACCTGCATGGCCTGCATGATTTCTTGATCATCAAACCAAAATTGCGGGGTTTCTCTCCCCAACGAGGAGCTGTCCAATCCCTCCTCCTTCAAGTATGTAGACATTCGCTCTAAAAATGGCTCCGTTTTGGGACCGACACCAAAAGCAAAACAGATGGCACATGTGATCTTCGGATCTTTAGTAATGATGCAAAAATCCCCTGGAGCGAAGGCAACAGGGACTTCTTCAAAGAATTCTAGGTACTTTTCCAGTGTTTTTATATCCACATCTTTCCCTGTCAGCCAGACGGAGAGAATCTCATTATTGAAGGGGGAAGCTATTGTTTGCTCCACGATTTTGGAAAGAGAAACTTCTTCGGCGCGGCAGGCCCGAACCGCCTTGAAGATGGAAGAAATTTTCTTCTGGAATTTGGCTTTGAATTCGTCAACTAAAGAACGAAATATCTTCAGCTGAGTTCGGACACCCCAGAAGTGATCGCAAACCTTGGATTTGTCCAAGTCGTTTGCCTTGACCTTGACGGCATGCAATGACTCCAGGATTTCTTCTACATCTTGAACGATTCCCACTCTAATCTCTTTAATCAAGCGTATGGCCCTGTTATTCAGCTTGTGAAGTGGGAAGAGATGGACACACTTCGGCACGTTTTCTTTCTTGGATCGAGCCGGGAGCTCTTGGAATATTTGTAGGCCTTCCTCGAATGTGGTTGGATTTTTCTCAAGGAGAATGTCACCATAATATTTGCAGCGAAGTTGATATGTTTCTAACTTTTCTTGTTCCTTCACCTTGGCTGTCGCCTCTCCCTTTATTGGTAATCCTGTGCAAGAAAGATATCACAGTCTCAGATACATGCACATCTCGAACTTACACTTAACGGAAACGACAGTTTTGCAATCTCCTCTCTTAATTTTCTCGTCTATACTTATTTCCAGAATTACTGCTATCCGTAGATGTTCGCTGCAATGGCTCTTCCATACCCTTGATTTTCTCGAAGGCAACATTCAATTTCCCTTCCACATCTCGAACTGTTTCGTTAGAGGAGACTTCCCGGTCAAAAACGAAGAAAGCGTCGGCTCCATACTCGATCCGGGTGACAACATGGGTGGCGATGTCTTTCTCGAATACTTCCGGATGCTCGATGCCATCCGTCCCCAATTGCTCCATGGTCAGCCCTTTGAAGCAGCTTTTGGACTTGAATTGAAGGACTATACGGGCTTGCTTAGAAGAAGACTTTCTATCATCCAGGTACTTGCCTGATCCTGCCATGTAATTTGGCATATTTTAGGATAATTTAGACCATTACAGGACGGAATATCTAACCACATATCGGGACAGTGACTTAACGTAACAGTAACGTAAACTACTGTCACAACAAACATACACAAGTAACACAACTCACATACACACAGCACAACTAACGTGAAATTACTCAACTGAACGCCAGAAAGTCGTCATCACAGGTATTGAAACTAATATCTAGAGCATCTCTCATTCCAGTCTGGTTTCTCAAAGCTAAGACTTAGAAGCTAAAATTTGCTTTATTTCCTGATTTACTTTTTGAAGATATTCATTCATGTGAATAATTTTTCATCGTCCGCATGCTACTCTTTATATTAGAGTTAAAAATTAAAATGAGGTGAGTAGGACGTATGCCATTATATTAATAGTACCATCATGAATCTGCTAAAGCTTGTTTCCACCGCTCTTAGATGTACCAAGTAGAAATGCTTTTCCAGAGAGATTTCCCCAATTATCTTTACTATGATCAGAAAGGAAATTGAATGTCTCATGACATAAATCAATCTTCATTCTTCCTCATATCGACTTGACGGCAGAGTTACTTGTGTAAGTCTGATCATGATGCTTTCACCAATGCTGTAATCCTAATCTGAGGCGATGTTACAACATGCTTCATAAGTTTAGAAGGTGACGAAATGAAATCGACAGAGTCGATTTTTCAACGAAATAGAACTCGTTCGAATACACTTTCGAGTCTCCAAAATGTTATTTGTTTCATCATTTAATGAAACAGAAACTAGTCCGGTGTAATAATAATGGCTGAAACTCTAATCGTGAAATAAAACTATCTTCTAGAACTTTTATTAGATAGTTCCTGTATATCTTGAAATTACCCACCCGAGACTTCAACAAGGCCACCGAGGAAACTGAGCTTGAGACTGGCATCGATGTCCAGTGCAGACGTCTTCTCCGAGATGCTATCCTCAGCTATGATCTCTGAATAGCACGACGACAGCTGGGATTCTGTGATGTTTTTTTCTAGGGCCGTCATATTCCATAGGGTCATGCCCGCCACGATGGTGTCGCTTCGGCGATCGTAGAGAGTTCCCAGCTGAAAGGGCCTCCCCAAACATGTCAGTTGCAACGACTCGCACTCCATCTCTAGCAATTATCAGTGACGTCCTCGTCCTTCTATCTAACAATATTATCATAGACACGAGGAATCATATTCAGTGATTTGGCTTCCTTTATTCACATTTTTAATGCGATTAAGTCGTGTCAGCAGCTCATTCGAAGCGGAAAAGCCAGGGGCACTAAATTTGTTTTAATAACATAATCTTGCCGTCATGGGACGTGATTCAACGCAAGAGGAACGGTTTCCTAGGTCTGTCAGCGACTGTTCGTTGTAGGTGTAGAAGACCTACGGATCAATGGAAAACATGTCAACTCCCGTCTCGATGATATTTGAAAAATAAAAGGATGGCCTTGCTCAATTCGCGGGAGAGCCATAGTGCGCCACCGTCGACTTCCCCATCTGTGGGATGTGATCTTTAAGGCTCTTAAGTGAGAGAGCGACTGATTGGTTGAACGGAATGTCGAACTGCCATAGAGTGTCAGACCTTGAGTGAGGCTTAATTAAGCATTCCTATATATAGGGTGAAATCGGAACCCCAAAATGATGAAGGCAAAAAGAAACAATTTCAGAATGTCCTTCATCCCTCCAGTTATCTCCAAGTATGAAGGACTGACTCCTCCAGTTTCTAAATTTCTCTTTCCCCGTTTCTCCGTGTGGAAAAAGAACTGAACATTTTCCATTAAAAAATAAAAAAAAACAGTCAAAGTAAGGGTAGAGGGTAGCCCAATGTGAAAAACAAGGACGTATTACAAACAAGAATATGACGAGAACAAAGCCAGTAACGACATGATTCAATTAGAAGTTCTTGACTTAGTAAAATGAATAATAAAAGCCAGAAGGCATTGGAAAGGAGATTGTTTCATCCCAGAAAAACGATATCCACTCCAACTTCATAATATCCACATGAGATTGTAGTCTCAACAATTTCAGGTCCTGAGTGCGATGGCCAAAATGCAATTACATATCAAGCTATGAAGGAATCCATTTACGAACTATTGTGAAAAAGCAAACGAACGACCGTACCTAGACCAAATTGGCCGTTCCAATGGTTTGACAAGAGCGATGGAGTTTCCTATGTTTCTACGTCTGTGCTTGACCCAATTCATATTGTTCTACAATACCTGCAACATTTCAATTGTGAAGCTACTCGCACCATTATTTTTTACAGTCCACGTACTTATCCACTGAGCCACGACAACGTTATTAAGGCATTACTTTCTGCTTATTTCTCTTACTTCTCCCGAAAAAATGAACTATGCTTTCCAAACTGGAAACTTTATTTTCGTTGTACTTTCCAAGCTTTACACACAATACGAACGTTTAGTAGGGAGAGACAGCGTTCAGACCTATTGAAAGCTAATGGTTCCATAATGGGAGCTGGTGCTGGAATGCCTCTGAAAAGAAAATGGTCTTTATTTTGCCTTGATTGCGATGAATGATGCAATTCATTTTCCTGATAATCTTTTAAGATTAACAACTTCTATATATATATTGCAATGGTCGCGCCTTCGGCGCTCCATTACCTTGGATAGTGATTAATTCATTTATTCCTTATGAAATGGCAAACACTTAATTAAAGTGCGTCCACATTGAAATACGTCACATATGGTGACGAAAGACTTGATTTAAAAAAATCAAAATCATTACTCCTATCATTTTTAGTTTGCCTAACTTGATATCTGTTCATGTGTCCCTTTTTGTAAGGGTGGAGAATACATATTGAAATACTTCTCTCATATAATCTACGATAAGGGGTCATATTTCAAAAGTATAATTTTTCCAGAACTCAGCATACGAATAGCTACTTATGTCAGTCAGGGGTCTGTCCACGCCAAGTGGTCCTAGAATTTTAGCCGGAAGTTTTCTTAAATACGCAAATATTACTTTCGCTACAAAAGTTCATCATCTCTCTTCCCAGAAGACATGAATGACAGAGTATGACATTGGAATATGAAATAATTAGTCATGATTCTGATATATTATTCATACCAATCTCATGATACTGAAAATCGTGCTGAAAAAGCAAAATTGGAGAGACTGAATTAGACGACTGGAACAGATGCCAGCATGGGCTTTCCATGCATAGTGATAATTTCAATTCAATTCAGCTGTGAAGAGTAAATGCCAATGGGTCACATTTGAATGTCTTTAAAATAAAATTAGTATGTATGTACAAACTTCTCGTTTTAAAATACACTTTCAGAACATGCCACATCCGACACCGTCACAAAATAGGCTTATATTCTGTTTTAATTGATGACATCTTTGGGTGACTTACACTGATTTCAAGCGTTCATTCAATCTATAGAATGAACATATAAATAAATTATTAGGATCCTCTCTATGACAGATATGTGAACAGTAATGCAAGTGACTTTAATTTGAGGTTCACGAAATGTCATGTCTGACACTTTCCTTTGTACACAGGTACACCTCTAACGTAAGAAAGACTGCAAGACTTTGGATATTGGAATTTTCAGTCACCACCCAAAGCAAATTATTACAGCCTTCATATGCTGATTAGTCAACCATAATATAGTTAAACACATTTTGTATACTAAAAATATTACTCCGGATGTCACATCCGACACCATCATATAGGCCTACTGTATTTATCGGGATCTCGACCCCTTCATCCATCAGAACCCCGTCCTTTTATTGATCGGCACTCTCACAAGGAGAGTGACTCCTTAGAGTGAAAACGGCGGGATCCCACCTGTATGAAATAGGAACCCTTGGATTGGAAAGATGCCATCGCCCGCGTAGTAACCATCCCGTTTCTCTACCCAATAGCAATTTTGATCCAAAATAAATCCATTGGACATATCCTCATGGACACTTGGACATCCAATGTACACCCTCCTCGGACATCCCCTGAATGACTAAATGTCTCGTCCAAGGATAATCCTTGGACATGTCTATTGGATGCACTATTGTACGTCCGTCTCTTTGGTTCCATTGGAGATTCCCTTTGGGAAAGCTTTTGGATGACCATTGAGGGGTGCAGCGATAGTAATCCCCGCATAGCTATGGAGCGTAAATTTGCATGCTCATGAATATTCATGGTGTGAGAAAGGGAGCATTTTCTGCATATTGACAATCTTGCCCTCTCATGTTCCTTGGCAGGAATTGTAGGAGTGAAGTGTTTGGATGGAAAATAAAGAATCATTGAGCCGAAACTCTCCACTTCCCATCCTTATCTCTCATACTAGACATTGCTTTCCCCATCGCCATATGCGGCATGATTCTGATAAGGAAGGAACAGACTTACTTGACAAGGGAAACCACACTCTCACCATGCACTGTGCAAGAATTGTCGGGAGTTTCTTTGAGCTGCTACGTCTCTCAGCAAATGAATTAATTAGAAAGACTTCATTCCTTAGGCTTGTACGTGGGAAATTGTAGAGGATGAACGCTTACGTAGAACGATTCGTTACCATTTTGGGAATCGGGAGACATACAGCGGCCAGATAAGCGCGATCTCACTTATATTAAGGGAACTTTATATTCATTGAATTCACTGCTATATGTCAGGTCAAATAGAAGGCCTCAACGGGGCAGGGATTCCATCCAAGGACATCCAATGGAAGACCTTAGGAAGTTGTCCTTGGAAGTTCCTTTGGTGGAGGTTTAATGGATGCCCAAAGGACTGACACATCGTTTCGTTCGAATTGTCGAAATCTAAATGAAATCATGCACTGGTCCAATTATAATGTCAGTATCTTATTGAGTAAAGTTATTGGGTTGGGACCTAAGATGAGGGATTAGAAGGAAAAAAAATAAAATAATAAATCTGGCGATCGGATCCTCGTAACGCCATTCCATTAAATCTTGATTCAATTAAGTTCATTCAAGTGAGTGTTCAATATAGGAAAATTCTGCTCGAATAAAGCTCATAATGCACGAGAACATATCGATCCATGGCGATGACATCCTATGTACATCCAACAGACGACCGCCTCTGGACTTATGTCCATCTCTGGACAACTGGACTGTCCATGGATGAGTTTTGGAGCACCCATGATTACTAGGGTAGCGTATATTTCATTCATAGGCCTACATGAAACGTGGTGGAGATGGACTTCACCGACGATATCGTCGAGATCGATACGGGATGAAAGTGCCGCTCGATGAAAGTCCGTATCGTGGGCGTGAACTAGAGAAAATTGGAATTATAGAGAGTGGGATGCGCAAGACGTATATTGTCAGAGCGGCTGCTGCGCAGAGCGTTCATGGGGCCGGTGACAGAACTCGTGAATTAACGAAAATGCTACACGCTTAGCCTAGGCCGACCGAGAGTTCGTGGATGTCTTCCACGGGTTGGGGTCTCGAGCGAGCAGTTTCTTTCGAGTCTTCGCGACTGTCGGATTCGTTCTCGAGAACGGGAGAGAGTGGCTGCCCCGCAGAGTGCATAAGAGCTGTCTGAACTCATGGACTCCCGACTACGGCATGTTCAGGACCGTAGAGAGTGGTCGGGGGGGGCACACCGTATGATGTACCTAGATATGTACTA